ATGCGATCTCACTACCGATTTTCTAATAGTTGCGATGTGGGTAAAATACATTTGCAACATATAACCCATAAGGTTTTTCCTAACGTTAGAAACCTGATAGGATTAGAAAAAAATTATCATTTTCAAAAGCAAGGGTCTCCTCCACCACCACGTCGGCGTCGAAGCAGAATGAGAGTCTTTGGAGCTTCTTGCCAGTGATCCTTAATTGCGCTTGCGTCTTTGACATGGGTTCACCCGTCTACGCCGAACAGGATTGAGATGTTGTGGTTTTTGCGAAAAAGGATGGACCTTCATGATATTGTTTTTGCTACCATGGAACACCGCAGAGGATTGCACACCAAGATTTATACCGTGATGATAAAGAAGACGATCTGAGACACCTTTTGTAATATCACTATGTTTGTATCCTTTTTCCTTCTTTCCCTTTCTTTTTTGGACAAAGGTGGTGAAGACCATAACCCCAATTTCAAATTGTGTCAAGACAATTACGTTTAAGTTTGGTGGGATTTGGAGAAGTAGACACTACAATGCATTGAGAGATCAATGAGAAGACTAATGGACACTTAATTGATGCATATTAACACAATTTCAAACGAAATTGACACTTTTTAAAAAATGGGGACACATCATTGCTGAATAATTAACAAAATATACTTAATTGATGCATATTAAGAAGATTGTAAATGAAGTTTGGCACTTTTTCAAAAGCGGATACCAAAGAGATACATTATCTTGAGAACCACCCAAACAATTAAACCTTATTTTAAATTATCAAATTAAAATATTAATTAATCAATTAAAAGCATAAAAATATTTATATGATGTTTTCTTTTTCTTTTATTATTATTATTATTATTATTATTATTATTATTATTATTATTATTATGGCAAAACTAGTGTACATGGTTTTAAATACTACTAGTACAACATTGAAGTCACTACAACAATCTGTATTTTTTTTAACCAAACCGGCGGTTATTTTAAATGTGACCGGCGGTTTTAACCCCCCCGCAAATCATATTTCCCGCGGTTGGAAAACCGGTGGGAAACGTTCCGTCGCCAAGCCGCACCGGCGGTTCCTGAAAAAATCCGCCAGTATTAGCGGGGTTCCTCCCCCTGGGAAAAAAACGCCGGAATTTCCAGGGGGTTTTGTCGAACCGCCAGAATTTCCGGGGGTTTTTGTAGAACCGCCGGAATAGCGGGGCGAGTCAAAAACCGCCGGAACAAGCTGGGGTTATCTCAAAACCGCCCCTACTTTTGATGGTTTAGTTTACCGGGGTTAAAACCGACGGGAATTTGTATAGTTCATTTTTTTTTAATGTAATAAAATTAGATTATAATAGAAATGGTTTTATTGACAAAACAAACAATAAATTAATATGAACTAAAATTTAATAAATTGTTAAAAATACCTACAATAGTCACCTAATAGCATTCATCAATAATTGTTCAACCTATAGCATCATCCCACTATTGTCATACCAACAATTAAAAAGAAGATGTTCATTACATATGTTCATATAGATGTTCAAATACCTAAAATATGACTCATAAAAGTATTCAATAACGAATCTAATTTTTTTCTTCATTCCATCCATTTTTGGTCCACCTCCTTGTCATAATACCTATAATATAAACATATGAGTCCGATAATATATTTAATAAAAAATCGTACAAATAATTTAACAATTATTACCGATGATCTTTTGAAATACTGCAAATTGTGAAGTCAATGGACCTTGATGATGTTTGCACAAAAGTGTCATGATTGCCTTCATTTTTCATTGACTTGTGAGTCAATGAGATACCTATAACAGCAAAATTATTTAAAAAGTTAGAAATAATGATACCTAACCGTGTTAATCTTAAAGAAAACAAACCAAGTAATATTCTTAACCTGGATTCCAATTTAACTTAGAAGGTCAATGAAGATACCTATAACAGAAAAATTTATTTAAAAAGTGAGAAATATGATACCTAACATGTTAATTTTAAAACGAACAAACCAAATAAATATTTAAATATTCATTAACCTGAGATTGTAATTCAACATTAGAAGGAGTAGATGAAGATGATCCAATATGAGAACGAGTCCTGGATTTCCAAAGACTTTAGTAGTATGGGTCAGACCCAAACCTATGACCCGCGAACACGTCCACAATGCTCTGCTTCCTAAAGCATGAGCCAATGAATCTAAACTTTGAATATTTCTTTTGATTGAGAACGATGTGTGTAGATTCATATGTTTGAATTTTTTCTCTACATACAACGTAATCAATGATGCCAACTTAAAACCAATGGCATTTGTATAAGAGACAAACTATTGAGTTGGCAGCAATATACTATATTTAAACTTAAGATGTTTGCAAAAACAGTAGCAAAATTGTCAATCAATCATTATTCACTAAGAGATACTCATGAATTGGTCACGAAAGAGATTAATGACAATCCAAAGAAAGTCACATCTAATGCTTAACTGTCTGAACTATAATGGTTTCTTACATGAATGGCTTTGATTTTACAATAAGACAGCAAGATGATGCGTTTACAAGGAATTCTCTTCGTTAGTGAAGGCTCCAATGCCTACTTGGGGAAGCAAGAGGATGCTTTAACTTTGATATTACCTACTACCGTAGCAAGGACCCTATGAGTCCGAGGCTCTATGAAGACATTGTTGAAGAGATTGAGCAAATTGGGATTTTCAAATATGGAGGATTACCTCATTGGGGTAAGAATAGGAACTTGGCGTTTGAAGGAGCCATCAAGAAGTACAAAAATGCAGAGAAATTTTTGAGGGTTAAAGAGAAGTATGATTCAGAAGGGGTTTTCTCAAGTACGTGGACAGACCAAATGCTTGGACTAAAAGATGGGGTGATGATAGTGAAAGATGGATGGGCTTTAGAAGAGGTGTGCATTTGCTCACAGGATAGTCATTGCAATCCAAGCAGAGGTTACTATTGCCAGAGCAGCAAAAGTTTTACAAGGGAGCAAGGGTTTGTACCATTTTAAATCCCATGAAAAGAACAAATTTAGAAACAAAAGATGATCCATTTATATCTGTGTGAATAAGTGATGATATTTATAGCTGTACTTTACATATACCAAAGGTTATACGCATTGTGTGATGCATACAAAGTTGAAAGGGTATTATTTTGTTGTTGTACTAGCTAGGAACTATTTTAGGAAAAGTCCTGCAGTAGCCATTTTAGTGAAAATGAACTATAATTTCTGACAAAGCAATACAACAAGTTTCATGTACAATATACCAGCCCATGCAAGAAAACAAATTTGGTTTTTTAATTTGTTTTTGCTGGAGCCTGCAGATTTGAATTTAGGAGTCTCGACCAAACATGATTGATTAATTATGTGTTTTTGATCAAAGCTAAAATTGATGTGTTTAAGACCTCTACTAGAACATACAAGCAAAGCCTACACACTTAAATCCCAAGTTGATCAATCTCAATTCAGAATACAAGAGCAATGATGCAAAAATGACTCTCTAGCAAGTGCAATTTCAAGAAATATTTTCTAGAAAATTTCTAAGTACACCAAAGTACAAGGGAACAAAATCCAGCCATCAAAGCAACTAAAATGACAAGAATAGTCTTCCAATCTTTTGTATTACCACTTGAGATTTTTTAGCAGAATAGTCTCCAAATCTTGTAACACAGCTAATAGGACTCCCTGATACACAAGAAGTGATACAAAATGTTTTGTTATAATTTGAGTATGAATTTTAGATCATCAAAATCAAAATAGAATTATACAAGAATACACTTACTAAAAAGAATGAACTGATCTCTCAAAAAGTTGTGCAACAAAAAAAATTCACAAAATATGAAAAGTTCTAATGTTGATTGACAAACAAAGAAAGTAAAAAACATGAGTGAAGCTTTGATTAAAACTAATGACATAGTGTTTATTTTTAAACATAACAAAATATAGTTAAACACTAACTTAATTAAGATAAATGGATCACTGGATTCAAATCTAAAGACCCATTAATATTAAATTATACTATAAATATTATATTGATAAAATTAATTTATTTACGTTCACATTAATGATAAAAGTAATTATACTAAATTTAAGGATCGGAGTATCTTCTAAAAATACAAACCTGATTCACCTTATTAATTAAAAACAAATACAAAAAAGAAAAAAATTACATACGTTAAAAAATGAAGACCGAGGAAGTTTATGAAATTGTAGTATTTAAAAGATACCTAATTGATCTTGTAAAAAATAGAAAAGAAAGTATATATATATATATATATATATATTATATATATATATACATATATATATATATATATATATATATCCACAAGCAATCGAGTATAATTTCAATGCTAAATATCCACAAATGTACATCTACTGTTTATAAATATAAATAACAGTAAACAAAATTGTATATAGCAAATAAGGAAAAATGATAATATAAGTAAACTATAATGGCTGTTACCCTGCTAATATGCTACTGAAATGATTCTCTTCGCTAACACATGAATAACTAGTTTATAGCCAAAGTATTTGCTGACATGTATGGTGAGATGCATCCCTGAACCTGAAAATAAGTCATTTTTTGTATAAGAAGAAACATTTTCTTAATCATGAATTCCAGTCAGAAATAATAATAATTATTATCGTGTTAAATATCTGTTCGTCTATTAGCTGCCATCAGCAATAAAGAATAAACCTACTAATATAAATAACTGAACACATTCTAGCAACTAGTAGAAAAGGCTGAGACAACAGAAAGAAAGCAGATTGAATGAACTTCAACATATTATCTTTCATTTCTGTAATATTATGTTAAGAAGAAAGAAAAAGCATGTAAAACAATATCTTGCCTGCAACAAACAAGAGGGAATTTGAATATAACCCTGTAGCAAGAGGTTGACCTTTTCCAAGGAACTATGTGGCACAGGAGTAATGACATATAGCACACCTTTTACTGTGTCAATGCCCCTCACAATCCCTGAAACATAAGAAATCAAGATGTGTTAAAAAATGATTTGCTTAGAATTATCAAAATGCATAACTACTCAACTAGAACAATAGCCTTTTTGATTTGTGACAGTCATATTCTTGTTTTATTCTCTCTCTTCAACATCTTTGGAAGCATGATAGCCTAGATAGGTAGAGATCTCTCCAGATATACTACAGTTTATGTCATTGCAAAGCTGAGACAGTGGTAAACTTCTCACAACCAATAGACAGATATACAAGATAAGCTAACTCAAAAATGCACATTTAGTTCACAATACTTTTGTCTTACAAAATTTGAAATTGTTTAAGTTCAATAATACCATTTCTTTCAAATAGCATTACCATTTTGTTTACAAGGCATTTGATGTTTTCAAAGACTTGTAAAACATAGAATGGGCATTTTCAGGTAGTTTGCTTTACTATTGCAACCTTATTAGCTTTTTAATCTAAAATTTCAATGCTGCAGAAGTATTTCAGTAAAAAATTATCCTCGGTTTCAGAACAGAACATAATGAAACACTTCAAATTCAGGAAGTTAGTCAAATGACGTACCAAGGCCAAAACACCAAGGTAAATTTTCAGGTCCTTCAGAATCAACAGCTAAGCCAACAATAGTAGCATTCAAACTGAAGAATATTTCAGAGCTTGGGACCTACAAAAATACCGGTAGATCATTTGTGGAGGCAGAAGCTTTGTAGAAATTTGTGGAGGCAGAGTGTGCAAGATAGGAGAACAAGAAAGTAACTCGTATCAGAAAGAGGCACTTCAGAGGCAAAGCATATGAAAAAACCATATTAAGAAAAGAATCAGAGAAACTTGCTTTATTTTCAACAGAAAAATATACCTAATCTAAAACCTATTCCAAAAATGAAACAGAAAAAGGGTAATAAAATTAAACCTTGATTCACAATCAAACATTCCAAGCAACACCACGGACAGATATGGAGGAGGAGGAGCAGCAAGTGCAAACAGCTCCAACACTGGTGCAGGTATTTTGGCTCCCCTTTCCTACACCAGCAGTAGGAAGTATTTCATTGATTGCTATTCAGAGTCATAGACGCCTCCATCATCAGAGAAATCATCAAATGTTCACATATCAAGCAGGAGAAGACGAACACGAAGGAGAGCAGGAGAAGACGAACACGAAGCCAAGCAGGAGAAGATTGTGGTGCGGTGAAGGGTTTGGGGGAAAATTTGATGAAGGCGGGGAAGGAGGTTAGGGTTTAGTGATAATTTCAGAGAATTAGAGTAGATGGATTCCCGAAAGTAATGACTGAAGGCGAGAGAGGGGATATAGGTTGGTAAGTATTTCAAAAATTAAAAAATTATATTTTAGGGACGGTTTTTTTATAACCGCCAGAAATACATGCGGTTTTAGACATAAACCGCAGGAACTATTCGAGGTTTCTAAAACCGCCGGTAAATAACCCCCCTTAAAATTAATTATTTTTGTAGTGTAAATATGAAAAAATTTCTGTGGGTAGATTTTATCATATTAGATACAATTATTTACAATTAATGTTTCTCATGTAACAAAACCTTATATACAATTTTAATTAATTAAAGATGTTGTGGCTACTCTTTAATTTATTAAAACTATATTACTACTAAAACATTAATAATATATAAATATTTACATAAAATTCGTAATATGCAAATAAAATAATAATAATGCATATTCTAATTTGAACGTATAATAACAAATATATATATACAAATAATATCCATAAAATATACATAATTATTAATCAAAAACACTTAAACATATATTATATAACATGTTACATATTCAATATTATATGTTAAATTTAATTAAACATAAAGCACCATTCGTACAACAATTAATGTTTGCGTGGAAATAAAGTTGCAGCGCATCAGGATATTAAATTGACCCATAAAATAATCAAAACTAAGAAAAAAGATAGGGTTTAGAGACTGCAGAAACCCTTATGTTAGTCAATATGATCTCGTGCATGTCAAATATAACAATTAAGATTCATATAAATATACACGCGTGTAAGACCCCTTTGGCTCAATGGGCGCAAGTCACGTTCAATAATTAATTGTCCTTTACTAAGCCTGCAATTCTCTAGAAGGGAAAACCGAGAATTTTTCTAAGCCCAGCTGTTAACAGGGAGACACATGTCGAGAAAAGTTACAATGTTGTAACAAATCATGAATTGACCCAAAAACCGAAATGCAGAAATAGGGTTCACCGACGCAAACCCTCTTTATATAATTAAACAAATGAAGAAAAGTAAAAGGATTTTTCAATGGATAAAAATCCTGAAACGTGAGAGAGAGAAAAAACAAACAGAAACTGTTCATCGTCTTCAAGCTTTAGTCAGATCCTCTTGACCCGGTTGCAACCTAATGACGATCCAGCTTGTATTTTATTTTCGCTTTTAAATATAGAAGCTTTATTTAACATTACAAGAAAAAGTAATCGGGATTAACATACATTTGGTAATATTTGTTTGGATGAAATGAGTTAACAACAAAACTCATAAATCTAAAAATCCAAACCAACGAAAGCATGCAAGGTAGAGGAATAAACAAAGGCTCTGATACCAAACGATAAAAAAATTCACACTATAAAATTTGACCTAAACATGTTATATTAACACGAAAGAATAATGTGCGTACCTCCTGTCATTGTTACTGTTGTAATCCAAACAAATATAGCTTTGTTTTCTAAACCTTAACTTACTCAAACTCAAACTCGATGGTGTGTTTTCTGAATAAAGGAGTAGGCTTAGTGATAAAAACTGAGAGTAACACATTCCCTTATATAAAGTTTAGCCATCATAGGATTCAAAATAAATGGGTTTTACATTGAAACAAAATTAGTAATTGCTCAATAACCTTTATACAGTTAAAAGATAAAAAATAACGACTTAATGAACCACTTTATGTTCCTTAAAAATAGGAACCGGAAATGCTATAATATTTAAAATAATGCCATGGTAGGGAAGAAAGAAAAAGAAGAAGAAATTTTTTTGTTTTTTTTTATTTCTATTTTCTAATATCATTTCATAAGGGTAAAGGGGGAAGTTTCAAATTTAAGGGGTGC